TGAAATGTACGGAAAGGAACAAAGAGGGCAAAGACAACTGATGACAGGAGGCGAAAGGGTAAGGGTGGCCAAATTTCATGCTTGTTCCTTGGCTGGACACTGAATTGAAAAGTAAGAAAAACCTGTAAAGGATATTCCAGGAAAGTTGTGAAGTTGGAGATTGAACCCAGGACCTCGTGCATGCTAATCATGTGCTCTACCACTGAGCTTTACTTTATACCCCTCCCCCCATGGGAAATTTTAAATACAGGATGTACATTAGATAATATTAATGTGTCAATGATAACTCCTGAGTGTAAACGATATTGATCTATATACACAAATTGTTTTACTCGGATATACATATTGAAGGATTGAGGTGTTGACAGATAAATGAACAGATAAATGGATATAATAGTAGATACATATATAAGCTCATATTTTACATATATCTGCACATGTCTTTAACGTTTTTAGTTTTAAAAGATTTTTAATGCAAACTTTGAGGAAAATTGCATTCCTTAAGTTTATCATATAAGAGATCTATAACCTTTTTTTTAAAGTATCCATGTTTATATGTTTCAGTACATGTTTTTTTGAAAATCTACCTTTAAGATGCAAAGGAAATTACAAAGCCAATATGTTACCATCAAACGTTGCTTAACAAATGGGTATTTATACAAAATTAAGGAAGGATAACCATTGCTCAGCAATGCAAGTAAAAATTTACCTGAATGGATCAGTGATCTGAATGTAAGCGCTAGGACTATCAAGTTTTAGGAAGAGATAATGGTAATTCTTTGTGACCCTGTGCTGGAAAATACACTTTAGAGAGGGGGAAAAAAAGAACCCTGTAGAAAAACCAGCCTGGTGTATTGTAAGTGTTCTTTTAGACAGTCTTAGATATTGACAAATAACCATCACCGTGCAAGTACACTCTGCCTCCTGTTTTTGTGCAGATCGTGAGCTAAGCATTGTAAATTGAAAAAAATCAATGAGAATAACCTTTTGTGACACATGAAAGTTAACTGAGATCTAAGTTTGAATTTCCATGAAAACTGGGATATAGCCATTCTCATTTGTTTCACTGTGTCCTGTGGCAGCTTCCATGCTCCAGTCGCAGAAGTGAACACTGGCATCAAACACTCCAAGGCCTCAAAGTCTGAAATATTTACACTCTCGTTCATTATAGATAAAGTTTACCAGCTCCTGCTTAGACCATTATCTCTGCCTTGCTCAATGACTCCAGCTTGGGTAGAACAAATCACTTACTGGTAAAAAGGTAGAATCAACTACCCAATGTTCATATTTGTGTACTGGGATGTCCATGCAGAAGACAGTGCCCATTTGCAATATACACACTGGGAATATGTATGACAATACAATACTCATTCCCTGATACACTGGATTTGAGAGATGGGCAATCCCATTCTGAGTCCTAGTGGATTGTTTCCATTTTCTTAGAAATAGAAATAGAAAGAATTTTGATTAAATATTACTTTAGACCCCAATATTAAAAAAGAAAACTCTGTTCCTCACTGTGTCGTTTGGTGAAAAAAGTGTGGACTTGGAGTCATAACCCTTGTAGCAAATCTGGGATCCTTGAGACATGTCCCATAATCTCTTACTAATTCATCAATTCTGTCTTCTCCAAAGATTGAGATTAGTACTTGCAGCCTTACCCATCTCATTTCTTTCTCCAACAAAATACAAATGTCATTATACTATTTTCTAATTTTAATAGTAATATGTCTTGCCTTCAAGTAGATGAGAGTAGCTTGCAGCATACCCACTAGAAACCCTGAGTATATACAGAAATTGTGTATTAGAAAGCATTAGAACTCCGCTAAACCAGAAATTTGTCTTAATATTCCGTAGTTGGGGGAACCTCAGAGTGGTCAGCTGACACCTCAAGTAAATTTTAGTCTGTGTCAGTGTCCAAATTTTACTCGAAACAGGAGATATTTACATCATTCTGACTGCCTAGTAGGAGAGGAATGAACTCTCT